TCTAAACAGAGCAAGAGAACACTTCAGTTAAGATATGCATCAGGGCTGTATCCTTTCACCATACCTATTCAATCTGGGCGCTAAGCAAACCATGAAAATTATTAGGTATTTTGTCATGACAGGAGTCCAGTGTGAAGGCTGTATAGTGGAGTGGACCTGGGGGAGGGATTGTAAAACAATGAAAGAATTTTTCTTTTACTTTTCCAAGAGGGTAGTGTACTACGGGGAGGGTTAGGAGGGGAGAAAAGTGCAACGATGAAGGAATGGAAATGCAAAGTCTCTGTAAATTTTCATCGAAATGAATAATAATTTTTTTAAAATTTACTTTATTATTTTTTGTGCATGTACCGTCAAATCAGATCTGACTGGTACAGGAGGAAATTGTCCCTCCTTCTCCGGCAGAGCCTCTGGTGGATTCGAATCGTGTACCTTTGGGATTGCAGTACAGCTTCTTGCCACTAGGCCACCAGAGCTCCCCAAAATTAATAATAAATTTTTAAAAAAGTAAAAAAAAGAAGTTGGACTCTGTAAAGAAAAAAAAGAAGTTGGACTCTGTGAAGAAGAATGGACATTAGGATAAGAGGAAAACTCATCAGTAACCTGTATTACATAGATGACATAACCTTGCTGGCTGAAAGGGAAGAGAACTTGAAAGGCTTGCCACAGAAGATCAAACACTACAGTCTCCAATATGGATTACATATTAACATTGAGGAAACAAAAATAATCACCACTGGGCCCATAGGCAACATCATGACAGATGAAGCGAAGATTGAAATTGTCAACAATTTCTTCTTCCTTGGATCCACAATTAATAAGCACCCTTGGTATTGGCAGTCAAGAAATCAAAAGATGTATTGCATTGGGGAAGTCTGTTGTCACAGACCTCTCCAGATAAGGACTAAGGTGTGCCTGATTCAGGCCATGGTCTTTTCAATGATTTTCTATGCATCTGAGAGCTGGGCAATGAAAAAGGATGATAGATGAATTGATACCTTTGAGTTGTGGTGCTATAGGAGAGTATTTGATATGCCATGGACTGCCAAAAGAACAAAAAGGCATATCTTGGGGAGGGTGCAACCAGAGTGATCCTTACAGGAAGGCAGCAAAGCCTTGTCTTGGACACTTGGAGCATGGGATTAGGAGATGCTTTTCCTTGGAGAGGGGCATCATGCTCCCTCTCCAAAGGTGAGGGAAAGGTGGAGGATAAGCAAAAGAAAGATTCTCAATGAGATAGACACAGTGACTGCAGCAGGGACTCAAGTGTGTCAGAGATGATGAGAATGGCACAGGATAGGGCAGGGTTCAGATCTGCATTTCATAGGTCAGAGTTGCACTGGACTCAACAGCATTTATTATTTAATGAGGTGTTTTGGAGAGAACTGGGCAGAAGGGACACTAGAACAACAGAACCTCCTTAAACACCAGGATGAGCAGAGTCTAACTTCCTTTCTTTAGCCCCTAGCATGGTACATAGGAGACATTTAATAAACTGAATTGGTGAATGAATGGATGGTGTATCTTGAATTATAACATTGGCTACTTCTTTCTCTCGGAGGAAATGTAGTTTATCCTGTGTGCTGGGTCATAAGATTGTTGTAATGGGGGGGGGGGAATGTTGTAATTGTTCCTGATTGGCCCCTTTCTTCTGTCGCCCTTAAATGTATCTGTGGAAACATGCCTTTCCTGCTCAAGAACCTCCATAGGCTTGTCCCTGGGCTTGAAGATCAAATCTTTACATTCAAGGCCCCCTGTAATCGGATGCTAACTCTTTTTTAACTTTAGTATTTCTCTCACTCCGTAAGTGCTTACGATCACCCAACTACTATTGGTCAATCCCCGAGCACAGCCCACCTTTAAGAGTGGAAAAATTCACTGCGGGTATCTCAAATTTTGTGCTATTTGAACCATGAGCAATTCTGGTTTCCCTCAGCCTTACAACTCTTCTCCACTTCCGTACCTCCAGAACCCCATCTCTTTTCCACCCCACACCCAACATTTCCCCTTTGGCTGCATATGCTTAAAGACCTTTTCATTCTGACAGACTTCTTGAAAACAGTGCAGAAATCACCTGCAGAGTATTACAGATGGTGAGGACAGCTCCCTATTAGGTGTTGTGTTGAGGGCTTTCATGCATGCTCTTACTTTTGCCCCACAAGGCCATGGGGTGGAGAGAATGAGAAAACCCATTTTACAGACAAGGATTCTGAAGCTTAGTAATGTGTACATGGTTCGTGTAGGAAAGTCTGACTTCAAAGCTTTTCTCTATTTTGCTAGTCTAGCTTTTGCTGACTGTTAAATTGGACAGTTCCCAAAGCAGCACTCAGCTGACTCTCATGGGGTTTGGCAATGGCTAACAGGCTGAAGAAGTGGAGAATTAGGTAAATGTTCTTAGTCTCAGACTCATTACGTTAGTGAAGAAGAGAAGGGTCTTCAAAATTATTGGACCCAACCTCTCCCAGTGCAACCTGAAAAACCTGGGCCCATCAAAGGCCAGGGTCAGGGCTTGTCTCAGATCGTGGTGAGGGGCGGGGGCAGGGTGAGAGCAGTCCAACAATCTCCCAACCTCCCAGGCAGTGTTCTCCACCCAGCTACCGCAATAAACACACACTCAGCTCTGGCACACCGCCTTTCCCATAGTCATGGGACAATATTAGGTCCAAGTCACTGGCCAGAAGCAGTGGGAGGGAACCCAGAGAAATAGCAGTTGAGCCTACTTGATTATCTGTGACCTTCATAAAGTGGAAACTTGCCAGAGTGCCTCCTCAAATCTTGATTGCATTGGGTACCCTTGAAGAGTTCAAAGGAGGAAGTTTGAGTTACCTTGAGTGAGCAGAAAGGTTACCTTATATAAAAGGCACGCAGAAATGTCCAGGCAGCTGAATGGGAGAAAGTAGGGCTTCAAATGTGTACATTTAGTCCCAACCCCTGCTGAAAATTTGCCTTTCCACCTCCTATGTGTTGAGTCAGAATCCAGAATCGACAGCTAAGCAAGCTATCAGGTGTGTCTAATGGAGAGGTAAAATCTTGGGGATTGATAAGAACCACCTTGTGATTTTATTGAAAATGTAGATTCTGATTCAGCAGGTCAGGCCCTGGGTAAAAATCTGCTTCCAAGTGCTGAAGAGCAAGGATGTCAGTTAAAGAGTAGGGTGCATCTGATCAATTGTTTTGTATGCATCTGAAAGTTGGACAATGAATGAGGAAGATGGAAGAATCAATGCCTTTGAGCCGCGATGTTGGCGAAGAGTATACACTGTTGGTGTTACGGGTCAAAAGAATAAACAACTCTGTTTTGAAGAAGTGCAACCTCGGTGCCGCTTAGAGGTGAGGATGGTTAAGCGTCATTTCACACACTTTGGGCATGCTGTCAGGAGGGGCAGTCTCTGGAAAATGACGTCATGATGGGAAAGGTGGAGGGAAGGCCCTCAACCAGATGGACTGACAGTGACTGTAACAATGAGCTTGAGCATGTGGGAGGTTGTAATGACAGCATAGGATAGGGCAGGGTTCACATCTGTCCTATCAGGTGTGGAAATGCAAGTTTTTGGCAAAGAGTTAAACTTGGAAGAACTGATTTGAAGCCCTGGGACAGAGCCCCCAAAAGCATAAACATAATGGGCATGTCTACCCAGGTATTGCAAGCTCTGCCTCTGCACAGGCTCCACAGGAAACATGGTTTATAGGTACAACACTCACTCCTGGGTAAAGTTAATCATCTCAGGCTACTGGGGGAAATCCAGGCTGAAGGTTCAAGGTAGAAGTTAGAGGCCCTCATTGGTTAGAAATGTTTTTGTGTATCTATCTATCTATCTATCTATCCATCCATCCATTTATTTATTTTTTTTTCTTGTTGTGTACCATCGAGTTGGATCTGATTGGCACAGGAACGGATTGCCCTTTCTTCTCTAGCAGTGTCCCATGGATTCGAACTGCACACATTCGTGATTGCAATGCCACTTTTTGTCACTGGGAGACCAGAGCTCCCATTCTCCTTTTATTTTTAATGAGAAGAAATGTAAAAGGCAACAAGTTAGAGGAACATACTAGAATGTTAAGTGGTTGAAGGGAAGACTTTTAGTCTAATTTTCTCATTTCATAGATAAGAAAGTAGCTACTCAAGGTTGGGAGAGGGATTGGCCCAAGGTCCAAAAAAAAGTGAGTGTGCTGTTCAGTTGACTGCGACTCATTGGATACTTCCTGAAATGGTCTGTCAGCCAATTCTTTTTGATGCGGTGACTGTGTATTACTTCCATTTTCTTTTACTGCTTCCTGCATCATTTAAGATTTTGCCGATAGCATCTCTCAGTATTGCAACTCAAAGCTTGACTTAATTCTTGAATTCCTTGAATTCCTCCAGCTCTTTGCAAATTTCATTATAATACTGTGCTTTTTCTTCTCAAACTGCTATTTGAAATATTCTGTTCAACTCTCTTTTATCATTTCTTCCCTTTCTTTTGGCTTCTTGAGGTTCCAGTGCAATTTTCAGTCTCTACCAACATCCTTTTTGGTCTTTTCTTTCTTGTCTTTGCAATGGCCTTTTGCTTTCTTCCCAGATAATATCCTTGATGTCATCCCACAGTTCAGAGTGAGTAGCAGAAGACAATTGAAATACAGGTATTCTGACTCTACGGCCTGCTGGATGTGGGTGGTCAAATGGGGGTGGAGGCATCAGCTTGCCTAAAGACATTTATTGCTCCCTTCCCACCCAGCACATCCACTAGAACCGCCCGTCATTAGCCCTCTCCACCATTCAAAGCACACACATCACTCATTTTACAGAGAAAAGGTTCAATGTGTTTTTGGGTTTGACAGAGCGGGGACCAGGCAGAGCCTGTGGCAAGGACGGAAGCTGGGAGGAGGCTGAGGAGGCAGATAGGGAGTGGAGGTGGACGGGATCTGTGCTCAGAAGTGAGCAGAAGTGACTGAGCTGGGCCGCCTGTGTCCTGTGGGGGTGGGAGCCTTTCCTAAGTTCCAAAAGAAGACAAGAGCCCAACCCTCCCCTCCTCCCCCAACCCCGCCCCTTCTGTAGTCTCTGGAACTGGAGTATTCAGGATTGGTCATGGCGGCTGAGGCTGCTGGCTGACCAGTTTTCAGTAAAGGTACCCATCAAAGCGGAGGTCTTAGTCTTCACCACCACAGATAGCCAGTAAGGCCTTCAGGAAGTCTCCGGACGTGTCACTCTGGCAGGGGCAGAGGAAGAGCAGAGTGAGTGAAAACAATCCACGACCCCAATGCCTACTCCTGCCAACTCCAGTCAGCTTCAGGCTTCTTATGTCACCTTGTGTTTTCAGCACAGCTACCACAGGCCTTCCTACGACAGGGATCTTCCTATTATGGCTGTGTCCCTCCTGTGTTCTCCTTAGCTCTCTGCCTGGCATCATGACCTCCAATGACTTCTGCAGCTTCACCTCCACTCTTCCCAGAGCACCCTGCATCCTTCTCTATCTGGCCTACCAAGCCTCCTGCCAAGTGTGCCCCCCTGTGCCTCTCCAAGTCCCACCTACCACTAGCTGATCTGTCCTCTGTGCAGCTCCTACCTCAAACAAAATTCCCACCTCCCCGGGTTCCCCTTCTATTCTGTAACCCCTCGTGGCTTTTACCACATTGTTGTATAGGGTTCCTTGTGGAGCACTTTCTGGGTACCAGGCCGTTGCTAAGAAGCTGTTTGAACATTCTTGTGTTCACGGCAATCACAGCAGGCAAACCTACTGCTGTCAAGTCAACTCTGACCCACTGTCACCCTCATCAGGTTTCTGAGGCTAGAAATCCTTTCTGGGAAGATATTGCCCATCTTTCATGTGAGGAGCAGCTGGTGGACTCAAACCATGGACCTTTTAGTTATCAATGCAGCACACAACACACTACACCAGGCTCTTTTGATAACATATAGGGCTGGGGGCTGCCAGACTAACCCCCACATGGTATGGCCTTTCCCTTTGGAGAGGCTCCTATCAACGATGCTTGGCAATATTCTGAGCACAGACAAGTATGTATGTGTGGGTCATGTTCCTTTATCAACAATGGGAGGACACATGAATTCTGCATGAATGTCATTCATATTGTCTGGTCTATGCTTTTTGGACTTAAAAATGATTCCAAATTGGCATAAAGAGATGCAAGCTTTTTTCCCATATTGTTGTTATGTGCCATCAAATTGAAACTGATGCACAGTTAATACTCCAGTGGGTTTTCAGAGGCTATAAATCACATGGAAAGAGACTGCCCACCTTTTTTCCATACAGCAGCTTGGATTCAAACTTCCTGACTTTGGGTTGACAGTGCAAGTCCTTACCTACTAGACCACCAGAGTTTTTTTTCCACACATGCATAACATTCTATCATATGGAAGAAGCACAATTGATTAATTTGGTTCCATACAAAGGGTTTCCATTCTTCTGCTACTATAAACAAGCTGGCACAAACACTCCTACATGTCTTTGAGAACATGAGTGCTTATAACTGCAGGGCAAATTCCAACACCTGGAATTATTAAGACAAAAGTGTGTGTACACTTTCACTTTTCAAAGTACCACTCTATAAAGATGTGCTATCGATATGTGGGATTCCCACCAAATCTGTGTGAGATGGTTTGTTTCCCCAACAGCCTTGTCCACCAAGCAAAGTATCACTCTTTCAGATAGATCTTGACCAATCTCACAAACAAGGAAACGGACTTTATAGTGGAAGAATTAAGCACACAGGTCACATATTCTATGACTCCATTTACATGAAATGTCCAGAAAAGAAAAACAGATTAGTGGTTACCAGGGATTAGGAGTAGAAACAAGTAAACAAGTATGAAGAACTTAAGAAGGGTGTTGAAAATATTCTAAAACTGCAACTCATATGAGTTTTAAGGTATTAGGGAGTTCTGGCAGCCTAGTGGTAAGAAGCTGTGTTGCAATAGTGAAGGGAAGCAGTTTGACTCCACCAGCTGTTCTGCAGGAAAAGGATGGGCAATCTCCTCCTGTGCAATTAACTGCCTCTGAAAACCTGCCAGAGGGTCAGCTATGAGTTGGTTCCAACTCTATAATACATAACAACAACAACAACCATCACCAGAATATTATAAAAACAGGTAAGTTACTGTTGAAATGCAAACTATATCCAGATGAGAAAAAGGGAAGAGGGCAGTTGTTTTCATTTGTGTACCTTTAATTTTAAATATTGCCATCCACTTCCTAAATAACATGCCTCTGGAAACTATGAACTTTGATAAATGTCGATAGTTGTAGAGGGGCTTCAAGCCTTTTGTTCATTGGGTCACTATGAGTTGGAATTGACTCGAAAGCAATCAACAACAACACAACAACAATTCTAAATGAGGGAGCGCTGGTGGCATAGTGAACAAGGAGTTGTGCTCCTAACCTAACGCCTGGGCCACTCTGATGGTTCAAATCCACCAGCTGTTCTGCAGGACAGAGAGGAGGAATCTCCCCCTGTGCAACTTACAGCTTCGAAAACCTGCTGGAGGGTCAGCTCGGAATCATTCAGACTCAATAGCTATGTTTTGGGTCCCCCCCAACCTTAACCCTAAATTTTAGTTTTATTCATAATTATTTTTAACAAAACTTTCAGGAATTTTACATAGAAAAGGGTCAAACATAAAATAAAAACTATAAATATTTATTATAAATCAAATAGTTAGATTTCAAAATTGGAGACGACAGTTGGGTAAGATGTGCCTGTGAGGCTATTTCTCATCTGTCAAATGTAAATAATAATAATAATAACAACAACATTGTTTTTGAGTTTTAATTCTAAATAAGAGTAAGTCATGCTTTATTTATTTATTTTTTAAACAAAACCCATGTTTGTGGTTTTGGTGGGCTTTACCTTTTGGTGAGGGATTCATTCATGTCCTACCTTTGAGGTCACATGAAGGTTCCTTAATTGGAAATCGTCACAATTTGGTCTCAATGGAAACCAACAACAAAAAGCAAGAAAATTAACTTTTTTGTTTTTGTTTGCTAAATTATATGAATTTGTTTATATTATCAACCTGCAGATATTTTTAACTTTCCTTGTAGAAATATTTAATTATAGTCAAACCATTTTTTTCCAAACTTTTAAAAAATGATTTTGTGTTGAGTAGAAAGGCCTGCCATATTCCAAGATTACTAAAACAAAACGAAAAAACCCCTAACTAATTAAAGAAAATGCTCCTCTAGTTCCTGCGTGGGGTCAAATCTTAGGTTTAGGTCTTTGATCCAAATTGGCCTTGGTAAGTGTGGTGCCAAGGGAGGCCTCCCATCAACTGGCAACATCCTGGCTATTCTAAGAGGAAAGCCTCATTAAGAAAGAAAAAAGTTCCCAATTACATCAGAGCTTCCACACTCAGCATCTGGCCTGCCTTCCTCCAGCTCCCCTGAGCCCAGCACTCCCCTTACCTCAATGGTTTGGTGCAGAGATTTGTCGTATTTCTCAATGAACTCTCGTCGGATATTTAGCAGGTCAATCTCACTCCGGGAGACCATGACCCTGGTGAGGGTCTTCTCATCTGTGCCAGCCCCCTGGTGAGTGGGATGAGAGAAAGGGGTAGGGAGACGGGGCTAAGTCAGAACAGAAGACGGTGGGTGCCAATCTGCCTCTCTCCCTTTGCTCTTCCAAGCCAGGTTAGATGTTTCACCCGCCTTCCACCAACAGTCCTGACCAGAACTCCACAGGGCTTAGGACTGGCCAGCTGGAAAGGCAGAAGGGGCCCACCTCTGCCCTAGGAAATTAGAACTCTGGCTATGGAAGGAGAGCTGGGTTCAAGTCTCAGCTCTGCCACTTAGGAACCATGTAACTGTGGGCAAATTTTAATGTGCCTCAGTCTCTTTCTTTACCAAATGAGGACACTTCCTACCTCAAAGGATTGACATAAAGGCCAACTCTGTTCAGAGAAGAGAAGCATTTGGTATGGGGCTTGCCACATGGTGAGTACTCTACAAATGGTTATCATAGTTGGGATTTCTGGCTCGTTTCTACCACACAGCCTGCCTGGGCTCAGCCAGCAGCTAAGAGTCTAAGTGCTGAGATGAGGGAGTGGCCAGTGTGAACCCAGTTTTCAATAAAAGCCAGGCTAGTCCCAGCACTGGAGACCTTTTATGATTATTTGTCAAAGGAAAGACAGTGTTACTTGACAGAATGTGAGTTCTGAGAGGGCAAGGACTGTCCCAGTCAGCCCGGATTCCTGAGCAGAGTTTCTCAACCGTGGAATTTTGTACCCAACAATTCTCCATTGTAGAAGGTTGTCCTGCGTGTTGTAGGTTGCTCGGCAGCATCCCTGGCCTCTCTCCACCTACCAGGTGTCAGTAACACCCTCCTCAAGTCGTGTCAACCAAAATCAGAACCAAATATTGTGAAATGTCCCCTAAAGGCAGAATCACCTGAGCCGGGAAAGGGGCAGGAGCTGATTAGTATCAAGAGGGGAAAGCAGGGGCCACAGAGCTGACGGGCGAAGGAGATGTCTGTGTCTGTACACAGAAGTGTTTGAGGGGAAAGGAACAAATGAGTGAGTTTTCTTACCTTCATGGATTTGTAAAGTTTGTCAGCAAAGAAGAGAGGCTTGTTCTTGACACTTTGAACTGGCAGAAAAAGAAAGAAAGGTACAAGAAACGTGGTCATGCCCTCAGCATCCAGACTCTGGGCCACCCTTTCATCTCCTCACACCCATCATGGGTCAGCAGATCAATACCAACCCCTTCAGGGTGGCCTTCCCTCCCCCTTCCAGGTGCATTCCTTAAAGGCCTAGGTGCTTGCAGCTAACCAAGATTAGTAAAGGAGCCAAAAGGGAAAGTACCCTCAAGGACCCAAGTTTAAAGTGCTATTTAAGGGAGCTCTGGTGACCTAGTGGCAAGAAGCTGCACTGCAATTCCAGAAGCATGCGGTTCAAATTCACCAGATGCTCTGCTGGAGAAGGAGGGGCAATCTCCTCCTTTACCAATCAGATCACATACAAAAAGCAGTGAAATAAAATAAAAATAATAATGATGATAATAATAATAAAAAAGTGCTACCGAATTCCTGGCGAAGTTGGCTTAAAACTCAAGTTGTTAGGCTCTACCCTCAAGGCTCCGATTCAGGGCCTACTTAGAGCAGTGGTTCTCAAAAAGTACCCAGACCAGCAGCATTAGCATAACTGGCAACTTGTTAGAGATACACAAGCTCACACCTCACCCAGGCCAGCCACATCTGTGTGTCCCTTTGCCGCCCAGAGGACTCTGGTGCTGGATAACCACCTCCTTCCAGGCTGCATGCGCATTTCCCAATCTCATAACCGAAAGTCCTACACACCAAGGTGGCTGATCATCCCAGTCCAGCACACACTAAGGGAATTAAATCTGAACTGTTGATTTGGTAGAATTTAAAGCACTGCAACCTTGCTGGGACCTGTACTAAACTAAACCTGCAATTCAGTTTAGTTGATTCTCATTGATTGCAATCTTGTAAGAATGAGAACTGCCCTATAGGATTTTTTGTGTACTCCTGAAATATTGACAGTCCCTGCTTCCTGGCCCAGGTGATGTCTACCTGGTTGTGACAATCACCATTCTTAAGGGCTGGAGTTCCTTAGCCTTCCTCAGGCGATTGGTTCCAAAGCCCAGACAGGAGCAACAAGACACAAGTCCAAGAAAGAAAAAATGGCTCTTAATAAAAAAATATCTCCATGAGGAGGGCAGTGGGTGGGCTTGAGGCAGCGCTGTGATGGCCTGAGGCAACTCCCTTCTCCAGCTCCTTATATAGTTCTTTACTCTCACCAGGGAGTTCTGGTGGCCTAGTGACAAGAAGCTGTGCTGCAATCCTGAAGCCATGTGGTTCAAGGCCACCAGCTGCTGTGTAGGAGGATGGACAGTCTCCTGAGCAATTAACTGCCTTTGAAAGCCTGCTGGAAGGCCCTCCATGGGTCAGTTCTCTACAGTACACAACAACAACAATCCCCAGACACATCCCAGCCCCTTTAGCCTGAAAGTCAAGGCTCCTGCTTTCTTCTGTGACCATGCTCCCAATTTTCCTCACACATTGCAAATTCTTTGTCTCTTTTGTCCTCCAGACATCACAGGTTTCCTATGACCTCTCTATTACTTTATCTATAAATCTCATCTCCTTCTGCCAGATTGTGTTTACTGTTCATGTCCCCAGTCCCGTCACCTCCTCCAAGAAACCTCTCCTGATTTCAGGCCTGGGGCATAACCAGGTGGTTAATGAACAGAGAAGGCAGAAAGGTTCCTCCTATAAAATCAACCCTACTCTGGAATAGGTGAGCATGAATGTATGTGAATGAAACACAATGTATATGAATGATTGTATGAAAAGCAATAAAAGAAGAGGTAACAAAACCACAAAATAAACCAAACCAACAAAACCAAAACACCAAGAATGCTGGTGACTGAAAGCATAAAGCTCTCAATCTCTGGTCGAGTCCGGACTCCACCACTGGCATACAATCTCCCTGAACCTCACCGTCCTATTCTGCGACGTGAGAGGATGTCATCAGGAGAGGATGAGTCAAGTGAAGTTATGTGGGAAGAAAGCACAGGGCCTGGCAGGACAGGATAACAAAGGCTGCTAACACGTATGCGGTGTACAGTACACGCCAGGTACTGTTTGAATTATGCAAAACTGATTCACTTAAACCTCACACAAACCATCCTATGGTGTGGATACAGTTATTATTTTCATTCCTCAGAGAAGGAAACTGAGGTACAGTCTTTGTGACTTTTGAGGACATAAATCTAGTAAGTGGCGAGCAGAGATTATTCAGATTCTCTGCTTTTAATCACTACTAATACTGCCTCCTAGATGTTGCTTCTAGGTAGTAAAAGTCCATTAAAGGGTACATAATATTATTATTATGTAATAGACATTTTAAAGAAATGTTAAAATTATTTTAGATTGTTGTTGTCAAGTTGCAACCGACGCATACATGACCCTCTGGTGGGTTTTCAAAGGCAATAAATCACTCGGGTGGAGACGGTCCATCTTTCTAATGGCCTGCCTCCCGGATAGCAGCACACCAGAGCTCCCTTGTTTTAGATTAGATGAACTCAGAAGCCACTGCCGTTAGTTAAATGGATCACAAACCACAACGGCCTTATAGGACAGAGGACAACTGCCTCACAGGGTTTCCAAGGCTGTGGTGGCTGAGTGCTAAGAAGCTGCACTGCAATCCTAAAGGCACATAGTTCAGATCCACCAGGTGCTCTGTGGGAGAAGGATGGGCCCTCTTCTCCCAAACAACTTAGTGCCTCTGAAAATCCGCCGGAGGGTCGGTTCTGACTCCACAACAGCAGCAAATCTTTGCAGAAGCGCACTGCTTCACCTTTCTCCTGAGGAGCTGCTGGTCGATTAAAATCAACAACCATTCAGCTGGCAGTCCAATGCTTAATCCACTATCCCACCAGCGCTCCTAGATTATTATATTAAAGAACTGCATTATTTAATAATAATAAATCATTTAGCATTTAATGGACTTTTATCACCTAGAAGCAATATCTTTTCAATCACTTGGTTACGTATCTGAAATTTGGACAATGACTAAGGATGACAGAAGAACTGATGCCTGTGAACTGTGGTGTTGAGAAGAATACTGAATATCCCGTGGACTACCAAAAGAACAAACAGGTACGCCTTACAGAAAGCGCAACTAGGTGCTCCTTGGAAGCAAGAAGCTTCACCTCACATCTTTTGGAAAAGAACTTCATGCTGGGAAAGGTGGAAAGTCAGTGAAGGAGAGGAAGATCCTCCGTGAGATGGATTACACAGTGACTGTAACCATGTTGCTGTTGATTGCCTTTGAGTTGAGCACGACTCATAGCACTCATATGAACAAAAGGCCTGAAGCCTTTCTATAACTATCAACACTTATCAAAGTTCATAGAGTTCCTGGAGGCATGTTGTTTATGAAGTGGATGCCACTCCTGCTTCTAATACTGTAACCACAGGCTCAAGTATATTAGGGATGTTGAGAACGGCATAAGATGGGTCAAGGTACAACACTGTTGTTCCTAGTGTTGCTTTGAGTGGTAGTTGACTCCACAGCACCTAACAACAACAATTCATCTAAAACACACATTAAATACTTTTGGAATCAGAATATATAATTGAGGGCAATTCTGTGAAAACCTTTGCTATTGTTACCACTTGATAAAGTGGAAAAGTATCTGTATCAATGTTGTTGTGTCCTATCAAATCAGAACTGGACCCATAGCTGACCCTCCAGCAGGTTTTCAGAGGCAGTTAATCACACAGGAGGAGAGTGCCCATCCTTCTCCCGCGGGCAGCCTCAAACTGTGTGCCTTTGGGATTGCAGCGCAGCTTCTTGCCACTAGGCCACCAAGCTCCCTGTCAATGTATCAATGCAGTACATTTTCTAGTAAAGGAAATATGAATAATAATAATTATTAATCACAACCGTCGGTCACACCTGGTCAACCTTTTTCACACGTAGGGAAAAGAGATCCAAAATTGGAAAGATTTTTTTTTTTAATTTAGCAAAACAAGTGATAAAGGTTCATTAAGGTAATGTAACAGAGGCATGACTGGTAAAAGATAGAGATAGGCCATGTGAAAGTGTTAAAGAGAAGAGAAAGGGGGAGAAACACCCCTGGAAAGTCAGGGGTGGGGAAAAGTTTCTTTTAAAAGTCAAAATGTGAGAGTAATCAAAGAGATCCGGGTGTTAGGAGGAGAGCAGTGTTTACATGTGTACACTTTGGTCGTGTATGACACCACACCTTGACATTGTCCGCCACCCCCTTCCTAGTTACTTCCTCAAGGACGGCAATTTTCTGACCATGTTGTTTTTGAGTCTGGAAGAAGTCCTCATCTGGAAGGACCCAGGGAGCCGTTTTGTGGCAGCATTCACAGTCCAGGACGACTTATCAGCTTATGAAGTTATAATGCTACCCTGTTTCTGGAAGTTGGGCCAACTTCCTCACTGTTCCAGCACCCCCCACCCCCGCCCCAACACTTACCAATGGCCACGAAGGCATCTCTAACGTCCCCAGACATCTCCTTCTTGATGACGTGCTCTATGTCATAGTTAGTCATCTTGATGAACTCCTGGAAGACTAGCCCAAGAGAAGCCCCAGATTTGGGGATGAGCTCCAGGTGTGGGGAGTTGAGGGAGATAACACCTTCTACAACCCAACTAGTTCCATTTGTTGACTATTCCTCTGGAAAAGGGCAGCAGTTACAGCCACAGCCCAGGTATAAATGCACTGAATGGATGACTGAGAAGGGGGTGCTCTGATCTCAAGGCTGCTTCAGGCTCAGGACCAAGTTGGAGACACACAGACACACACACACACACACCACCACCACCCCCAAACCCCTATCCTGGCCAACTGCTCCAGAGGCTTGGAGACACTTTAGGAAGCCAGGTGGGAGTAGTGCAAGGGACATGAGTCCTAGTCCAGACTCAGCCTGGCTCACTGTGCAACCCTGGGTGAACCCCTATCCCTGTCCAGGACTCCTCTTTGTTAAAAAGAGATAGAAGTTTAATGTTAAGTAACAATGGTAACACTTAAGAAGCACATACTCTGTGCCTGGTATTATGCAACATGCTTATATATATTGTTTCCTTACAACAGTGTAGGAACTAAAGCTTCAATTTATAGTTGTGACAATGATAATAACAAATATAGTTATGACAGAGACGTTCAGCACCATGCTGCCCTTGGGTATGCTGCTGGTAAATGAGGGGTTGCAATCAAGACATCTTGGCTTCTAAGTCCACACTTTTCACCACGTTTTGCTAAGGCTTCTTAAAGATTTTACTGAGAAGTACCAAATAAATGCATCTTAAAATGTTAATGGCTTGGTGGAAAGAGCACTTCATGTCAAGGGCATTCATACAGCTGCGACTGTATAAGTGGCAGCCTCTATGTTTTCCGGAAATGTATGTGATCCTGCTGCCATGATCACTGCCCAGTTCTCTGCTCCTGGAAGACATCACTAATAGATCATGGCACAGACCCTTCTTAGCACAGCATTCTAGACAACCATTAATAGTCCAGTGGCATTTAGGTGAAGGTAGATAGCAAAGGCCACAGGATGAGTGAAGGAGAGCCAGGATTTCAACCCAGGAATCCCTAGGCTTCCTCAGTCACAATACTTTCTTTGCTGGGTAAAGGGTGGGTGGATAGGTATTTGGGTACTTTGATCATCTGATTCGGAGTGCTTTCTGATGAAATAGGAGTGAGAAGGGGCAGGCCTCACCTCTCCGGAGGTGTGGATAGCTGCGAGTGCACAAGATGGTCATGAAGCGTGTTTCCAAGGATGTTTTGTCTCCATTAGACGTGTCTGCTACTTCCTGCAGAGCCCAGATTGGGGCAAGGATTTGGGAGAGAAGACACAGAAAGCCTCAGTTATCACTCACTCTGACACTTCTCCCTGGCTGAGGGCTGAGACCCGCCCTCTTTCCTTGACCAGCCTCCACATTCCCTCCCCACCAGGGAGGCCTGGACAGATTCAGATCAGTGCTCTCTCTGGTCACTTCCTCCTGGACCTCAGAACCCCAGCAGGCACTAAGCAAGGGACTCGGACTGCTCTATCCATCCTTAAACTTCTCAGCAAGGCCCCTGGGAAGTATGCACAGGACAAAACAACGTGTGCAAGTACAAAACAAGTGTGCCAGTGTTCCCCAAAGTGGTAAACAGATGGACACACCTTATTATAACACACCACATACATATCTGTATAAATCCCACCGTTATTGTCTGGCCACCTATAAGCTTATTTATACTAGTAATAATTTTTCCTTTAAAAATAAACTAATTTTCAATTTAGAGTCAATTTAAAGGGAAATATTAAGTAGCTGATAGTTGTAGTATGGTTCATATAAGAGATAAAAGATTTATATCTGAAACAACCCAAGTGTCCATCAACAAACTAATGGATAGAGAAGCTGTTGTATATTCACACAATGGAGTATTATGTAGCATTGAAAAACAAGGAACTCATGAAATATTACACAAAATGGGTGACCCTGGAGGACAATATGCTGAGTGAAATATCTCAGTCACAAAAGAACAAATAGTCCATAGGGCCATGGTTGTAAAATGGAACTGATATCGGGGTTGAGGGAAGACAGAGAAGGAGGGGAGGAATGATGTATACTGTACTGAAACAGATGAGGGAGAGAACTGTTTAAAAGGGTTATATGATTGGGTATTATTGTCATGATGCAAGTCCAGAATGAAGGCTGCATAGTGGAGTGGAGTCGGGGAGGGAGTACATAACAATGAAAGAGTTTTTCTTTTCAAGGAGCAGAGTGAATGGGGGAGGAGGGGTGTGCAGGGAGAAAAGTGCAACAATGATTGAATGGAATCTCTAAGTCTCTGTAAACTTTCATTAAAATTACTAAAATAAAAAAAAAAAGACTTATGTTTAGGAACCAACTTCCCTGGGCCATTTCTTATCCACTAGTCCTTACAGGGCCCTGAAGGGGAGAGAGAGAACGTGCCAAGCAAGTCCCCAAACCACTGTCTGGCGCGGCCCCACTTAGCCCAGAGGCACAGCTAGACTTTCTCAGAGGAAAATCACGTGAAGAGGGCACTCACCAAGATCTCAGCAGCCACCTGAGAGCAGGGCAGAGAGGAGAGGAGAGAGGGGGAGAGGCAAGAGTCAGAGGAGGCCTGGCAAGGCGGCTGAGGTGCTGGGGTCATGGGGTGAGGGGTCTGGCTGGCTCTTGGTGTCAGAGACTCCCCACCATCCCCAAAAAACTAAAACAAAAACTTGAGACCATCATCTGGAGCAAGGAAGAAGGGGAAAAAACATACCCCTGCCCTGGCTTTGTGGACCTGTGGTCAAAATGGAGGACAGGTTTGAGAGCTCCGGCAAGGCCAGTTGACCCGAGGGGTGGGGGAAGGACACAAATAAAAAAAAAAAATAGCACCGCCATGAGTTATTCTGACTCACAGCAACCCTACAGGACAGAGTAGAACTGCCCCCAGGGTTTCTGAGGCTGTAAATCTCTACAGAGCAGACTGATCTCTATCTCCAGTGGAACAGCTGGTGGGTTCAGAATGCCACTGCCGACCACTTTAGAGTTTGCTTGTCTGGAAACCAGGAGAAATCCTCCCCCTTACTCTCCTAGAACTACTCAGACATTAAAATGCAATGAATGCAACCTTCTCTACACCCCAGAGCACCATTCAGAGCTGGAAGGGTCTCAGGAGACTGTCAACTGATTCCTCCTATCAGACAGGAAAGCTGAAGCCTAAAGAGGGGACCTGACTTCAGTGGCACAGCCAAGCAGAGTCAATTTAAGGGTTAGTTTTAACTGTTGCATTATGCAGAGCACAACATTCTGGGTTGGTTGTGTTTTTTTTTTTACAATATTTTGTTAGTCAGGTGGCTGGGACCCAGAGTGCCTGGAGACAAAATGCAGCCAGGCTCTGTCACCTTTACCTTTGCTCCCAAACCTCTGCTGATGATTCTAATCTACCCAAACAAACACCACCTCCTGCCTGGTGGATTTGGACTGATCTGCACTCTACCACCAGCACTCCTCTTTGCTCTACCCTAGCAGAAAGTAGAAAACTAAATCTCTTTGTAAATATCATGATGACCTTTGCATTAGAAACCTCCTTCTTCACCTTATATCAATTGTCAATGTCTTTAAATATATATACTGTCTGATTAGGCAATTATGTTGCTAAGAATATGCCCTATAGATATCCTGGCCAAAGTATTTCCAGATATAACACAAAACATTTGCTGCAGCATTTGGTGCAATAGCAAAAAAAAAAAAAGTGAAACTACCAAAGGTAGATGATTTGTGAACAATCAGTGGAAATCCACATGGCTGTGATCTGTATGTGCTGATGTCATTGTGTGCCACTGAGTTGGAACCATTGTTAGCCAACCCTCCAGGGGGTTTTCAGAGGCAGTAAATGGCAGGGGAAAGCCTGCCCATCCTCCTGTGGAGCAGCTTGTGGAGTGCTGATAAGGAAACACTTTAGCACAATGTATTGTACGCAGGCATGCCTGGCCAAGCCAGCTGTAACTGTGTCAATTCTGACTCACAGCGACTTCACACATTTTAGAGCAGAACTGCACGGCACTGAATTTTCAGGTAAAAGAGTGTCCCTTTTATCTTGATGAAAAAAAAAAAAAGACCAGCACACTCCTTCTTAACTGGTTTTGGGGAAGTACATAGAATTCTCTAGTGAAATCATTGACAGTAGTTACCTTATGGGAAGAGAATATGAAAAAAAACTTTTCACTTTGTATTCCTAAAATTTTTTTTCATTATAAAAATACACTTTTATTCCTATTCCCCCAAAAGGCAATGCAACCGAGTGTGAAAATTGTCAAACAGTATCACTAATATCAGATGCAAGCTAAAATTTTGTTTACATTTTCTTCGTGTGCACATACTTCCTCCTCCCTTTCATTTCTACATTAATGTGAAATAGAAGCTTTTAGGACTACTAGGGCTATGGCTGCTTTGGGTTTTTATTTATACTTTCGATGTCTTTGAGTTGTGGTGTTGGGAAAGAGTACTGAATATCCTGTGCACTGCCAAAAGAACAAACAAGTCTGTCTCGGAAGAAATGCAACCCGGATGCTCATAAGAAGCATGCAAGGGTGGTGAAACGGCATCTCCATTCTCTGGGCATGCTATCAGGAGGCGCAGTCTTTGGACAAGGACATCTTGCTGGGAAAGGGAAAACAGGACAGACTGACAGTGACTAACAACGGACTGGAGCACATCAGAGATAATGAAGATGGCTCAGGATGGGTCAAGGTTCGAATGTGTTGTTTACAGGATCACTGAGTTGTAGATGACTTGAGGGTACCTAACAACAACAACAACAACATATTAAAAACCTAGCATTACTTCAAAAAGAGAGGGGAAAGTTTAAAATAAAAATTCTGGACTATTACACCTTGCACCACTTCCTCAATTGCTGTTCTGTTTGCACCCCCTGTGAAGCAAATACAGTGACTGAAAACGCCATGACATGACCAGGTGCACCTTATTCCTCAAAGTGACTTCTGACATCTCTGCTCTTTAACACTTTAAAGAGGTCTTTTGCGGCATATCTCCAGAATGCAATCTAGCATCTAATTACTTGATGGCTGCTTCCATGGGCATTGATTATGGACCCAACTAAAATGAAATCCTCAATGTCAATCTGCTCCATTTATTCGAGCTTACTGATCCAGGTCTGAGGATTTTTGTTTCCTTATCGAGTTGACTCAGGCCCATGGTGACCCAACGTGTGTTAGAGTGCAACTGTGCTCTGGGGTTTCGGTGACCCATTTTTCAGAAATAGATCTTGAGGTGGGCTCGCCCCTCCAAACTTTTGGTTAGCTGAGTGTGTTAACAGTTGGCACCACCCGGAAACTAGCCAGAATAACTAGAATTTCAATAGCATTTATTGCAAAAATTGTAACAGTAGGTGCAGCTGATATAGGCCATGGTCTTTGCTATCACTTGGCATGCATCAGAGTCGGACAATGAC